TCAGTCCCGAAGATATGCAAGAGGCAAAGAAATCTATGAAAGAAAAAGGTATTAAAGCTGAAGACGTTAAGAATTTACCTCCTATTGAAGAAATACATGGTCTTAATATACCGCCTGTTGAAGAAACATATGATCTTAACTATTTATTTACTGAAGAACCTCCCGATTCCGATATCCCGACATAGGTAATAAAGGTAAATTCTCTCTATAGATATGATAAAGCTGAAGTTCCTCCTACTAAAATTGCTAGGCAATGCTTTGATGAGTTTGATAATTTTATTGTCAAGCAAGAAAATTTCAATGCTTATGTTGGTAGACAATTGAAATATGATTCCGATATGCTTAAATACTTGGGTGATTATATGGCTGATATTAAAGGTGAACTTAAACTTGTTAGCAAACATGCTTCTATGGTTAGCACTCAAGTAGAACAAGTACTTAAATCTCAAAAAGAAGTGCTTAATGAAATGAATAGTAAGAAAAATGGTTATGCTGTTAGAGTGGCTACTAGAACTGGTAGAATGACTCAGGAACCTTTGTATCCTGAAGGACACCCTAAGAGAATCGAGAAAGATTCTCAAAGAAATAATATTGATGTTCCTAGTTCTTCTAAAAAGAAGAAGAAGAAAAATGATAGAAATGTGCAAACTTCTAGTGAACCTGTTGTTGAACCACCTGATAATCCAAATGATATATCTATGTCTGATGCTGAAACACAATCTGGTAATGAACATGAACCTAGTAAAAATATTAATGATAATGTTCATGATGGTGCTCAACCTAGTAATGATAATGATGTAGAAATTGAACCTGTTGTTGATCTTGATAACCCACAATCAAAGAATCAATGTTATGATAAAAGAGACTTTGTTGCTAGGAAACATGGTAAAGAAAGGGAACCTTGGGTTCAGAAACCCATGCCTTTTCCTCCTAAACCATCCAAGAAAAAGGATGATGAGGATTTTGAGCACTTTGCTGAAATGATTAGGCCTATCTTTTTGCGTATGCGATTAACTGATGTGCTCAAAACAAATCCTTATGCAAAATATATGAAGGATATCATTACTAATAAAAGAAAGATACCGGAAGCTGAAATTTCCACCATGATTGCTAATTATACTTTTAAGGGTGGAATACCAAAGAAACTTGGAGACCCCGGAGTACCCACTATACCTTGCTCCATTAAAAAGAATTATATTAAAACTGCTTTATGTGATCTTGGAGCCGGTGTTAGTGTTATGCCTCTCTCTTTATATCGTAGACTTGGCTTGAATAAGCTGACACCTACTAAAATATCTTTGCAAATGGCTGATAAATCAACTGCTATACCTGTCGGTATTTGTGAGGATGTGCCTATGCGGTTGCAAACGTTACTATTTTAACGGACTTTGTTATACTTGATATTCCCGAGGATGATAGTATGTCTATTATTCTTGGAAGACCTTTTCTTAATACTGTAGGGGATGTTATTGATTGCAACAAAGGCAATGTCACTTTTCATGTTAATGGTAATGAGCATACTGTACACTTTCCGAGGAAACAACCTCAAGTTCATAGTATCAACTCCATTGGAAAAATTCCATCGATTATAATTGGAGGTTTTGAATTTCCTCTTCCTACTATCAAAAAGAAATATGATATACTTATTATTGGGGATGTGCATATCCCCGTTGAGGTAACTTAGTGTTATTTGAAATTTCTCCGGTTTCATGATTATCGGAACGAGTTTGTTAACAAGACTTGATCAACCTTGTTAGTGGATACTTTTTTATGAGCGTGAGATGGATGAAACTAGAAGCACAAACTTCTGTACCCTCTCTATACTTTCTGTTATTTATATTAAATAAAGTAAAATAGTATTTTTCTGTCTGTTTCCTGACTTATCAGTGCAATATAAAAATATCCCGAAAATAAAAGTCCTCAGAATGCCATGCCAATTTAATATGATTTTTTCGGGAATATTTGAGGATTTACTGTGCAAAAATTACCGCGGGAGGAGCTGCCACCTGGCAACGAGGATGGTGGGCGCCCCCCTATAGGGCGTTCCCCCATGCCTCGTGGGCCCACGGTGGCCCTCCTCCATTTATCCCAGCACCAATCTTCTTCCTCTATCTCACACAAACCCGAAAAACCAACTCAAGCACGAGTTCCAGCCACTTTTGCTGTGATTTCCGATCTCCTTGCTCAAAGCACCTCTCGCAAAACTGCTTGGGGAGATTGTTCCTTGGTATGTGACTCCTCCATTGGTCCAATTAGTTTTTGTTCAAGTGCTTTATTCTTTGCAAATTTGTGCTGCATAGGTGACCATGTTCTTGAGCTTGCATGTCAAATTTATATGGTTCCAAGTAGTTCCAGTGCTTGATTTAGGCTCTAGGCACTTGTAGGAGTAGTTGCTATCAGTTTTATTGAAGTTTGTTCACTTTTGTTTGAAGTTATAAAAATTTCAGAATTTTTCAGAGAAAAACAATATGCTTAGGAAGATGTTCCAAGGTGGTTCCTCTAAGAAGCAAGGACCCAGGATTGCTATGCGCGATGCTGGCGAGGATCCACCAAGAGACGCTCCAGTACGACCTTGCGAATGGCCGTCAGAAAATTTTATGGACCGTGCGGGAATTAAAGAAGAATTCAAAGCATATTTGTGCAATGCCGGTCTTGAGGATTTTGAGGCTAACAAATGCCCCCAGTATCATGATCTCACAAGTTCATTTATGAGGAGGTTTGAGTATTCATCTTCGCGTAATTCTCCTTTAGTCATGTTTGATCTTTATGACAAATCTTATACCATGGACTTAGAGGATTTCACTTCTGCTTGCAAACTTCCATCATGGGGTAGTGTTAGAGATCCCCCTAAATCTGAATTTAGAAACTTTCTTGCTAGTATAACTGTGGGGGAATCTAGAGATATAACACGGGCTACCATAGGGAGCATTCACTTTCTTGCTATACATTATTTTGCTCTCTTCATCGGTAGATGCATAAATGCTAAGGATGAAGCATGTCACATGTGTGTCCCTGATCTTAGCATTCTTAGGAGTGCTGTGTTAGGAGACCAAGCTTATCATATGGGAGCCATTGTAGCTCGTAGGTTGCATCATAATAGACATAATGGAGATTTCTTTGGAGGAATTTATTCAACCTGCTTAGCTCATTTTCTTGAGATAGACATTCATGAGGGTGATATGGAGTTGCCTCCTGCATATTTAGATTATGACTCTATGGCTTCGCACCAGTTTGTCGAGAGGCCTGAATCACCTCTCTTATATCGCTTAATTTTTGATAAACGACGTGTTTTCCGTATTACTCTCCCTGCTCCTGCCTTCTTTGATTCACAGATAAAAGGAAGATATGTTATTACCAGAGAGGAGGCAGAAGAGTACGAGAGGAGAGCGGAGGCAGCTCGACTCCACGCTGCAGCACAGAAGGCGATAACCGCTGCACATCAGTATGATCTCAACTATTCCTCCTCATCACAGTACGACCCCAACAACTATTATTACTAGTCGTCAACCCGTGCATTCACACGGGCTAGATATTTAGTAGTGATAAATATGTATTCCCATGAAACACACAACATGGTTATTCATGTGCCCCGTTCACATACTAATTAATGGATTTAGAGCAATTCAAAAAGCTCGTTGTCCATTTTTAAAAATCAATGTCTTAATTTATTCAACATTATAGGTAGATTACTCTTGTTAATTTGCAGTCGAAACCGTTGTTTTATCATATGCTTACTCATCTTTCACTTTTATATCTAGTGGTCCATACATCCTCGTTGGCATCTCAGATCGACTTGCTATGCTCGATAGACAATTCTATAATGCTTTCAAAAAATCCTACGGAGGATCGGTTATCCAAGAGTGAGCGTTTGTCACGATTTCAAAATTTTCTTTATTGAAAGTCATGACATTTTATTTATATAAATTGGAGTATTTTTTGTGGTGTAATAGATTATTTGGTCGGAGAGCTGACATCCATTTGGGAAGTTATTGTTAGAAAGATAAAAAAGAATTATCCCGATCTTCATTGCACATTTTTCGATGGTTAACTCAAATTAGTCCCCATATAATTTATTACAGTTTTTTATATTAAAAAAGTATATATCTGTAATAATTGTACTTTTGGTATGGAGACACACCACAGCTACTACTGATATGTGTGTCTTTTTAGATCAGTAACAGGTTTTCCCGAGGATCGTCGGCGGTCTCGGTAGTAGCGTTTGGCGCAGATGTCCTGTCAATTTTTTTCCAATCTCCTCTCTCTATGAAATAAAATTTGAGATGTCAAACAACGCTCTCTACATTATCCCAAACCTCCTTTCATTTTTTAGGTGATTCAACATTGCATCCTGGAGAGATTATAGCAGAGGAAGGTCAGTGCCAGGCAGATACAACACCTAAAATGGTTATTGTTGTACTGTGGACATATGAATCACATTGGCTAGTTTCCATTTATTTTTTTAATCTGCATGTGAATTTCAGGGTCCATCTAAGAAAAGAAAGTTATAGGTACTGACAAAATGTTCTTGTTTCGTCTATAGTTCTTTAGCTTCACCGAGTCAAATTCATAACCGTGATGCATACATAACTCATCTTGATTGTCTGAAATCAGTTGTTAGCCCTTGCTAAAAAAATTAGCTGCACAATGGTAGATGTTTACATCAGTGGCAAAAAAGGTAGATGTTCAGATGTAGATGCATAGAGAACTACCATGCTCACAAATAAAATTTTGCCGAGGGGAACTGAGAGATGCAAGCAGGGTAGAGAGTGAGAAACTGTGACACATGGATGGTGGAACAATTTTAAAAAGGTGCTATATCTGGACCATATTACATTTTGTCAGATAAGAATGCTTGTACCTGTTCAAATTATAACTAATTTTCGAGTCCAGGACACACTGGACATTCTATATTCGGTGATTTTATATCAACACCTGAGTACCTTCCTTTTTTTATTCCTCTTCTACATGTGACACGACTTGTGCTCCTTCCCCTAATCCTTTTAGGTAGTATGGAGGTGGAGTTCATCATCCTCCGGCTCTTGCTTTATATTTTTTAGAACAAATAAGTTTTGCACTTGCCCCTGCAAAATCATTTTTAGCAATTATTAGAGACGTGAAAAACTATGAAAGAACATGCAAATACACCACAAAAGCTTATATGGTTAATCTCAATAATGTTTTCTGGTATTCTACGAATGCCACCACATCTGTGAGCTATTATATACTTTCTCTCAACTCTTAATTCCTTGAATATGGATTCATATTTCTCCATACTACCCTCATTTTCTGATTATCCATCGGAATGTACAACACGACAGCTGTTCCTATTCCTAGAATTTTTAGTTACCTTTACAACTGATTTATAGTCTGCCTGCTGTCCATTCAAATTTTGACATTTGGTGTCCTGGTAATAGTCTCCTAGAAAAGCATAACAAACTTTTAATATGGCTTGCACATACAAAACAATATAGAGCCTCATGGTCGAAATAACAGAACCTGTTCGACATTTGTATGCTTTAATGACGTGTCTTCTTCAAAATCTGTGATTTTTTTGCATAAATAGTGTAATATTGGTAAATGTACTTGAGAATTGAGATTATATTCATTCAGTCTAAACTGAAAATTCAATCTCCGCCAATAGTTTTTTTGGATTAGTGTGCAAGAAATAAGGTGTCTTCTCACCTCCAATTTGATGGAAATACGGCGAAGATATAAACTTAGACTGAACCTTCTTGGATCAGCGACTGAACTTGATAACAATATGTTACATTACCTTCTCATGCATCATGCCCTGAAACAATAATAATTTAGGGAGAAGATGTCTCAGTATTTGTAATAACTACCATAACTGATTGTATAATGTTTATGTTGGCACATCATAAAACTGACCTCTTCATCAAGTAAGTTCACTGTTAACGTTAATGGCATCCCACATCTTAATTAATCTGGCCTTCATATCACACGCAATTTCTTTAAACATTAAATTGCCAAGAAAAATAGTTGAACTTGATATAACAAATTAAAGGATTACAAAAAATTGAATCTGCGAAAGAACACAAAAGATGATTCCCTAACATGCACAGTGATAACAACGGACCAAAGAAAACATTGGCACCTAGTTAGAGAAGCGAACCATCTACGATGTTGTGAACCAACATGGTGTCTAATTTGTATAACCTCGCCAGATGGTCATGGTCGACGATGTTGTGAACCAACATGATGTTTAATTTGTGTAAGCTCACCTGATGAACATGGTTGTGCTCTGAATTTATTTGCATGAGGTGTCGAAAAACTGCCCACACGTGCATGCATCCCATTCTCAGCGATTGAAGCTGCTTCTAGGATACCACACATCCTATAATGAGGGCCATGAGGCTACGCGAGCCCAAACGCATAGCAATCGCCACTACGCAATAGAATAGGTCATCCGGTAGCTCACACAGACAAAGCTTCAAGGCAAGAGATATTGAGATGAGACAATAGATGGTGGATTATTTACTACTACCATAGTAGGGAACAAAGATTATTAATTTACAGGAAAGATTGTGATAATGTAAGTTGTAAGTTGTATTATTTTTTCAAATGTACCTGCTGTATAGTGTGCCCTCCATAGATCAACCGTCACATACTTCAATTCATGCATAATATAGAAGCCTGTAGCTGTGCTGGTATAGCGCAGTCAAAATCCATATTTATATTATGAAGATCATTTGTGTATAAAAGATCATTGCATACCTGAACATCCATGTATGAAGCTACTAATTTTCTTGGTCTATTGTACTGGACAGCAGAAAACATGGCTTGTAGGACAACGCGTCCGGCAGCGGTGCCTTCAACAATGCCAGGTTTTCTCCATGCCCCTTACGCCCAAACCGCTAGCTCTCCGATGCTATTATTTTCTCAGGGTATAAACTGTATTATAGTGTACATACAATTTTATAAAAATGATAGAAGAAAACGACACTAATTAGATCTCGGTAGAAAAGAAAATAGTAAACATGAGAAGTGAAACATCTTATACCATCTTCAGCAGTCCCAATTTTCAAAGCAGTTTTTCTGCCCAAATCAGACCACAACATAGCCTAGACTTGCAGTTGTTTGTGCAATTTTTCTTAGGACTCCATCATAGGCTGCTCCTGTTGGTCTCTTATTATATGCAGAACGCTGAACCAAAGCATGCACATTGGTCTGCTAAAGTGGATATTGGAGGCCATAATATCATCTGGTCTCCAACCATGACAAAAATTCTCTCGTGGAGTCATTCTGCCATGCAGCGACATACAAAGTATGCTATTATCATCTGGGGCCTACCAAAGCCTTCGTCTTAGTCGCAATGGCCTGCCATTTGGACACTACGACATGGGCTCACTGCGTCTATGTCTATTGGATTGTTGATGGCCATCGGTATCGCCGATGCAATTCTACGCTAGGCTCTGAGCCTCAATCTGATCTGCCATATGTGTACTTAAGTAAGAAATTAATTGTTTTTGCCAACAAATTACATTGTATTGCACATATAGCAGATCAAACCTAGTTGATTCAATTACCTTAATTTTTCTGCAGATGGAACGGGATGCAAGCATGCATTGCAGTCAGGTATGTACATGTATATTCTGGCAAGTACTGATGGGTCTTCCACCGATAAATACTCCCTGACCAGAAAAATCAAATGTCCTCATATATGAATTATTAGTCTCTGATCATCAACAGTGAACCTCACAAGGCAGTGACTGGCTTATCAACATGTCTGCTCAGTGCTCACCAAGCATTCTTGCACTACAATCTGATAATTTTAGTTACTACAGTACGTACCTCTCCATACCTGCACACTACTGCACATGAACAACCACGTATACACCATGGCATAGCTGAACTCCTTTATAGCAAAATATGTACCCACAAAGGCTGTTCAGATGTTCGGGGGTGAGGATGGCGGCGAGCAGAGGTGACGGAGCCTGGGGATTCATTGGGCGGCCTGAGGATTTGTAGGGCGGCATGACACAAAGAAATCAATCTTTTTTTTTCGAAAAGGGGGGTCTCCCCGGCCTCTGCATCAGAGCAATGCATACGGCCATCTTATTAACCAAAAAAACAAAAGTGCCAACAAGGTTCCACAGTCTCCAGCTAAACAAAAAGAGAAAGAAAAATGCAGCTCACACAGAGCTACAGACGGCTAGATACACAAACTAGCCCAAAAGAGATGCCACAACCGGCTGGCTAACAATAGATAGGGAAACTAATTGCCTATCCTATTACATGACCGCCATCCAAACCGGTTGAAGATATCCCGAGCTACCATCTCCCAACAGATAAATCCAGTAACCAAATGCTCACTGGCCTCCATCGGAGTGAGTAGCGACCACGAACGGATCAGTGCCGTAGCTCGGAAAATAACCTGCAAAAAATGAATCCGTGATGTTCTGTTAAAAACCAAATCATTTCTGTAATTCCAGATAGTCCATAACAAAGCGCAAACTCCAACCCAAATATGTCTTGCGAGAACAGGCTCAACCCCATTAAGCCATGTTCCGAATAAAGCATTGACAGAAGTCGGCGGAGTAAGATTAAAAGCAATATGGACCGTCCGCCAAAGAACTCTGGCCAACGGGCAATCAAAGAATAAATGCTTAATCGTCTCATCCCGATCACAGAAACTACACCTAGTAGTTCCTGTCCAATTGCGTTTAATCAAGTTGTCCTTTGTTAAAATAACTTGTTTATGGACAAACCATATAAACACTTTAATTTTTAAAGGCACTTTGACAGCCCGAACATACTTGGAAGTTGGAATAGCAGTCGAATTAATAACATCAATATACATTGATTTAACTGTAAATACTCCAGAACTAGTCAACTTCCAACGCAATATATCGGGTTGGTGAGAAAGTTGAACCTCCATCAGTCGCCTAACTAGATGAAGCCATTCTTCCCAACGATTGCCCGCTAGCGACCGTCGAAACTGAATATTAAGGGAGATAGATTGGAATACCGTTGCCACGAACACCTCACGTCGTTGAGCAATCCGATATAAAGACGGATATTGAATGGCTAAAGGTGATCCACCAAGCCAGGTATCCTCCCAGAAACGGGTACTTGTACCGTTTCCAATAACAAATCTCGTCCTATTGAACATAGATTGTTTGACTTTCATTAGTCCTTTCCAGAAAGGCGAATCAGTCGGCCTGACTGCGACCTGGGACAATGTTTTAGTTTGGAGGTACTTGTTGCGGAGGATCTGCGCCCACATGGCCTCAGTCCCGGAAGACAGCTTCCACAACCACTTACTAAGAAGACATCTGTTCTTAACTTCAAGATTTTCAATACCAAGACCCCCTTGGTCTTTCGGTCTACAGATGATGTCCCATTTAGCAAGCCGGTATTTTCTTTTAAGTTCATCACCCTGCCAAAAGAAACGCGACCGATAGAAGTCCAGTCGTTTCCTAACACCAACTGGGACCTCAAAGAAAGATAAGAGAAACATAGGCATACTCGTGAGCACCGAATTAATCAATATCAAACGGCCTCCGTATGACATGAGCTTACCCTTCCAACAGCTTAGTTTTTTCTCAAATCGATCCTCGATGCACTTCCATTCTCTGTTTGTTAGCCTACGATGGTGAATCGGTATACCAAGGTAAGAGAGGGGTAAACTCCCCAACTCGCACCCAAACAATTGCCTATAAGACTCCTGGTCGTCTTTGGCTCTACCAAAGCAGAACAATTCGCTCTTATGGAAGTTAATCTTTAACCCGGTCAATTGTTCAAACAGGCATAACACTAGCTTCATATTTCTCGCCTTGGCCAAATCATGCTCCATAAAGATGATTGTATCATCGGCTTACTGAAGGATGGAAACACCTCCCTCAACAAGATGAGGTACCAACCCACCCACTTGACCATTCTCCTTAGCCCTTCCTATCAAAATTGCTAACATATCCACCACAATGTTAAACAGGATAGGGGACATCGGATCTCCTTGTCTTAGGCCTTTATGTGTCTGGAAATAATGACCTATGTCGTCATTCACTTTAATTCCCACACTCCCTTTTTGCGTAAATGATTCGACCTGTCGGCGCAAGGCTTCATCAAAACCTTTCATACGCAATGCCTGTTGGAGGAATGGCCACTTAACCTTATCGTATGCTTTTTCGAAATCCACCTTAAAAATTACTCCATCTAATTTTTTTGAATGGATTTCATGGAGCGTTTCATGAAGGACAACCACCCCTTCAAGGATGTTTCTGTCCGGCATGAAAGCAGTTTGGGATTGCTGCACCACAGATTGTGCAATCTGTGTGAGCCTATTAGTCCCGACCTTGGTGAATATTTTGAAACTAACATTGAGGAGGCAGATCGGCCTGAACTGCTCAATCCTCGCAGCATCCGTTTTCTTCGGAAGCAATGTGATAGTTCCAAAATTCAAGTGAAATAATTGAAGCTGTCCAGAGAATAGATCATGAAACATAGGTAGTAAATCCCCCTTAATAATGTGCCAGCACTTTTTATAGAACTCACCCGGGAACCCATCCGGACCGGGAGCCTTATTGTTTTTCATTTGTGCAATAGCATCGAACACCTCCTTTTCTGAGAACGGGGCAACCAGGATATCATTATCAGCAGTAGTCAATTGAGGCACGTCCTCAACCCTGGACTCATCGAAGGACACACAATTGGCCTCCGGCGGTCCAAATAGCTGTCTATAGTATTCGGTAATATAGGTTTGAGATTATCCTGTCCTAAAATAGTACCCTCATCCTGCTCTAGCTGAAAGATCCGCTTCTTTCTATGCTTACCATTAGCAATGAGGTGAAAAAATTGAGTATTCGCGTCCCCTTGGACTACTTTGCGGACCTTGGCACGCAAAGCCCACTTCAATTCTTCTTCGCGGAGAAGTTCTTTCAGCCTCTTCTCTGCCTCATTTTCAACTTGGAGTTCGGCGGGCCGCAACATCACGGACTCGGCTTTTACGTCCAAGGCCTGTACAAAAGAGAGGAGCCTATCCTTCTCAATCTTATACACCCCACTGAGATGCTTAGCCCAACCCCGTAAGAAACTTCTCAAATGTCTAATTTTATTCTGCCAGCGCTCAACCGCCGTCCTTCCTCCAACACCCTTGGCCCACTCCCTGGCTATGATGTCGAAGAATCCCTCACGTTCGAACCAGGCCATCTCAAAAGAGAAGGTGTTTTTGTTTCCTATATGGTTCGGCTCCCCTGAGTCCACGAACAAAGGTGTGTGATCGGAGATTCCCCGCGTGAGAGCTTGCACCGTAACAAGAGGGAACTTCTGTTCCCACTCCACGCCGGCGAGAACCCGATCAAGCTTTTCATATGTCGGGTTTGGCATAGCATTAGCCTAGGTAAACTGTCTACCAGTAAGCTCTATCTCCCTTAGATCTAAACTTTCAATAATAGTATTGAACATAAACGACCACCTGCCGTCGAAGTTATCATTATTTTTCTCCTCTCTCCTTCTAATGATATTGAAATCACCCCCGACCAAAATCGGAAGCTGTTCGGACCCACATATCCGAACAAGATCCGCCAGAAACTCCGGTTTAAGCTCGGGTTGGGCGGCACCATAAACCGCTACCAAAGCCCAGTTGAACCCATCAACTTTAGACCTAACTCGAAACTTTACCGCGAAGTCACCCATTACTACACTCCGGACTTCAAGGGAATCTCATCTCACACCCAGTAAGATACCTCCCGATCTACCTCGTGGCGGGAGGCAATGCCAATCGAAATCAAGACCACCCACAAGAGAGGAAAGAAACTGCGGTGCAAAATTATCTCGACCGGTTTCCGATAGAGCAATGAAATCTAATCGATGTTCCAGAGAAGCTTCAGCAAGAAACCTTCTTTTAGCCAAGTCCTTCAGACCTCTGCTATTTCAAAAGATTTCTTTCGTAGTTCATCATGGAATTTTTTAGCAGTCCGAATCCTAGCACTCCTACGAACTGCAGAATCGGGATAAATCTTTCGCTTCCACTTACACCTTGGCTTAGTGGGCTCCGTCACCCGGTCCTCATAACCGGACTGACCAGAACCGACATCTACATCATCTAAGCTCGCATCATCGCCCTCCGACTCCTAATTAGAAGGTGCTAGGTCCGCACATAGATTATTTAGCACTCTAACCCCTAACGCATCAATTTCCTCATCATTCATGGGTTTGACCGCAACAAGATTACGAATAGTCTCTAAGGCCCGCTCCGCCTCTAAATCTAACATATCATTCACCGAATTGGATATTTCAATATCAGTAGCGCCTAGTGAAACTCTTAATTGGTTTGCATTATTAACAATCTCCTCAGGAGCAAAATGCA